CGGCCTGTTGTTAACAAATATCAGAGGAAAAACCTTGACACAGGTGGTACATGTTGCCTATAGACCAGGCATGTCAAAATTTGGCTTACCTGGTGCCACATAGAGTCAAGAGGAATTGTCGTGGGACTCATATAAAATATATAATATAATAACTATCACTAAAAATAACATAATAATATTAAAAGTTTACAATCCTGTGCAACCACATTACTAGCTGACCAGGGCCGTATGAGAAACGGGGGGCACGGGTTGGACATGCCTGCTATAAGCCATGGTTTCCTCACCCAAAATGTTCAGGGACAGCTAAGCAAAACCAAGATGAATCCAAATCCAGGAAGTTTTCTCTATTACTCAGTCCCATGCAAAACAGGACCTGTGGTGGCTCTTCCACTAGTCCTTAAGCCAGAAGAAAAGCATACTGTCATAAATTCTGCCCTATTGCTTATCCCAAACATCCAAGACTAATTTGAGCTACGAAAGGCACTGTCCATCAACACCTGATGCAGACCAAGCTAAGGAAAGGAATTGGCGGATTCCCCGAGGATTCACTTCCTGTTGCAGGTTCTTTCTTTAAACCACCAATAACCAGATTACACATCAAATATTGAAACTTTGGACAGTTGAACGGGTTTTTCTATCTTCTTCCTTAAGTGACAGGGGGAGACTTTTCTTTTACAAATTTAAAAAAGGCATTGTCAATTATAAATGCCTTCAACTAGTCCAGAAATCAATCATATTGGTAATAGAACTATTTTTTTTATTTTTCTACCCACAGTATTTTTTTTACATACCATCAAGTCCTTGTCAGACTTATAGTGTCATATACAGGTAGTCCTCACTTACTGCCTGCCTAATTTCTGTAAAAACTGTTTTAAGTTATGAGGGTGTACAAAAATAGCTTTGAGACCAATCTTCACGTTTATGACCATCACATTGCCCCATGATCATGTGATCATCATTCAGGCACTTTGCAACCAATTTGTAACTGTCACAGCATCCCCAGTCATATGATCACCACTTGTATACTTTACAACTGGCTTATGACAAGCAGTGTTAACTGAGCAAGTGGCAGTAAAATTGTAAGTCACTGTCACATGATGTTTCACTTAATGACCATGCTACATAGCAGTAGCTGGTCCCCATTGTGGTCACTAAATGAGGATTAGCTGCAGACAGATTTTCTCCATAACAATCTGTCCCTAACCTGGTCTTTCAGCTCTTTCAAAGGTGTATCTTCATTATAATTGAATTCATTCACCTGCTGCTTATTGTCCTCTTTTTAAGGCAATAGGCTCTTAATCTACATTAATACATTATTCTTTAAAGCCCAATTTCACCACATTCTCACGTTTTTCGATTCTACATTACTAATGTGCTTCTTTCCTGCTGATTTCTGTAGTCTTACGACTTAATCCCTGTATTGTCACTCTCTAGAGCTCTACTCCTTTTTGTATGGAGTTCAGCACGACTTTTATTTTTTTCAGTTTCTATTTTCTATTTCTATCCTGTCAAAGTCTTGGCTTTTTCTTCACCTTTTCATCTTGTTTGTTTCTGGCTGTGCTCCTTGGCTCTTCTCTTCTTCTTAATCTTGGCTCCATCTGAGGGAAATGAAAAGTTTTTCCCTTGTGCCCGTCTGAGGGAAAGAAAAAAACATCTCTCTTTCCCCAGTTTTCTCAGATGCTGCCTGTTTTCTGCCTTGATCATCATTTAGGTTGCCTTTTATTTGGTTCCTGGGCCGTGCCTCTGTTTTTAGGAGTAGAACAACCAAGAACAAATTTCCGCTGCCTCAATTGTAGGCCAGGGATGAAAGCAAAGCAACTGTACTTCAACTAGGGGATGTAAGGAATCGTCTGAAAGATATCTAGTGAATTCATCCAAGATTCTGATTAATCCATTTGAGTTTTCCCTTCTTGGAGACCTCTTCCTCCCACTGGTGTCACAGGGGATGAAGTGCTTGTATAAAAGAGGACTGGAAAGCAGAATGCTTCCTAACTAGAGCTCTCAGGTATTAAGTCTTCCTGATTCCACTTCTGTCTCTTTTTTTCCCCCATTGCATGACTTGACCTAGTTATTTCAAGGCCATCTTTAGATAACACTTCCTTTGCTCAGAAAAAAAAAATCCAGTCTGAGATGTTGGCATACAGCATTTCAAATCCTGCCAGAAGCAATGCCTCAGGGTTTTGCTTAAAAGTTGATTGTGAAGGGACAGAAGAGATGTACCTATCACCACATTTCTTCCCAATTCTAACATGTTAGTGAAGTAACCCAAACAGTTTTAAAGGGAAAAATGAAGAAAGCTTATGAGCCCAGTTATTAAGGGGAAAATCATATTCTTATCATTTTTCAATTCATCTGTTAGAACAGTGCTTCTCAACGTTTGTGTGACGGCGACCCCCATCACACAAACGTGCCGCGCATGCGCGGCGCCACCCCCATGCGCGGCACCGCCCCCTTGCGCGGCGCGCATGCGCGGCACCGCCCCCCGAGGAGGAAAAATGGCGGATCGCCTTGTTTGGCGACCCCCGAGAAATGGTCGATCGACCCCAAATGGGGTCGCGACCCATAGGTTGAGAACCGCTGTGTTAGAAGATACTTGCAGCCTTTGTATTCAATACATTTAACCAGATTTAGCAGGTAGATTTGTATAAGGTGCCAAGTTTGGTTCGTTTTAATCCTGAGTAGCTTTTTTGTGGCATAGTCTTCTGTGTGAACTCAACCTATTCAGCTCATTCATAATTTGAGAGGTCCTTGGTGCTCTTTGAGCTTGGTTGTTTTCTTGCAGAAGAAAGAAAGAAGAAAACAACCAAGCTCAGAGAGTATCAAGGACCCAGCATTTCAACCCTGAGCTACAAATATTCTCCTTTATTGGTAACTCATTATTTAATATTTAAAGACCTTTTTATATGACTAGTAGAAACCAGCAAAAAAACATTGAAAAGCATGGTCACACATGACTGCGAGATGCTGCACATGGCCATAAAAGTGATTTGTTTGCTAAGCACTCAAAATGTGATAATGTAACCACATTGGGTGGGGGAGGAAATTCAACCATCATAATGTCAAATGATCACTAAGTGATCAGTCGTAAGTCAAGGACAACCTATACTGTACTTTTTCCAAATTACAATGTACCTTGGTAAAAGCATGAATACATTATTGTATTGTTGCTACTATGCAAGTCCTGAAAATAGATACAATATTTATGCATAGGACCGAGCCTGTTTTAATTCAGTAACCAGTTTAAGAATGATTATTTGCCAATTGAGTGCATTCATATGAAGAATCACAGAATGTCTGAATTGGAAGGGATCTTATAAGTAATCTAGTCCAACATCCTGCTCAGTGCAGGAATACACTGAACTACCCCAAAAGGTGTCTATTCGTTCCACATTTGCAAACTTCAGAGGAAGAGAATCCACCATTGTTCTAAATTAGGAGGAACTGGTTATGGTAAGAGGTTTAGAACAGGGGTGGACACTATGGCAATTTGATGACCTACAGCTCCCAGAATTCCTGAGCCAGCATGGAATTCTGGGAGTTGAAGTCCACAGGTTGTCAAATTGCTATAGTTGCCCATCCCTGTTCTATGGTAACAGTTCTTTTAGCTATTACCTCTTACCATAACCAATTCTTCCTAATATTCCACCCTAGAAAAATTTCGTTTTTTAATCCATTGATCTTTGTCCTGCCCTCAGGTTCAACAAAAACATCTATTTCCTTTCCTTGTACTTGACAGCCCTTTTATATCTTTGAAGACAGTTATCATGTCTCCCTTCTGCTTTGCCTTTTGCAAGCTAAAAATCCCAGTCTCCTTTAACCATTCCCCCAGGTTTGATTTCAACGTCCCTTATCATCCTGGCGGCTCTCTTCTAAACTTGCTCCAGTTTCTCCATGTCCCTTTTAAAGTGATCCTTACTCAGCTTCGGTGATGGGTCTGCTTATTGTGGTTGCATATTAAATATGCAACAGTTTTTAGGAACCAATCGATGGATTCCCCTGGCTGTGTTTCCTCTCTGATTTAGTGTCATTTACCAGCAGGAAAAAAGATCCATCATTGTCTGTAGCAGGGACTTAGCAGGTAGTATGGGCAAGTGCCTTTAGCTATTTTTCAAGTTCCCCTAGTGACAGATCACTGATGTGGTTGAATATGGTTTAGCACTCTTCTACAAAGTGCTGAACTTGTTTGTTTAAGCATATGCCTAGCAATTTTCTGGTGAAGCAGTAAATCTGAGCATAAAATATAGTTCAGCTAATACATTCCATGTGTGACTGAGAGATTCAGGCTGAAGTGTGATCTCTTATAGAAGATCTCTGTCACTTCATCTTCACTCTCCATGTTGGAGGACTAAGGACTTCAAATGATTTTGAACTAATATGCTGAAGACTAAATTATAAAATAAAATTAGCATGGGAGGACAAGGAAATGGGCGGGACCAAAATAAAAAGCCATTATAATTAAACTTTCATTCTATTAATTAGGATTTCCATGTAATAATATTCCCCTTTCTTGTCACATTATAGCATAGCCATAGCACTTAGACTTACATACCACTTCACAGTACTTGACAGCCCTCTTTAAGCAGTTTACAGAGTCAACATATTGCCCCCAACAATCTGGGTCCTCATTTTACCGACCTCAGAAGGATAGAAAGTTGAGTCACCTTGAGCCAGTGAGAATCGAACTGCTGGCAGTCAGCAGAATTACTGCAATACTGCATTCTAACCACTGTGCCACTACGGCACTCTGTATTATAATTACAGTTCATCAGCAACTCATAGATGGAGGAAGAGTATACCTATAGCATTTGGGAGCTCATGTATTGGAGCCATACTTGTTTACTCCTAGTTAACAGATATAGATTACAAATATTCTATTGGCCTGTTTATTTAAAAGGTGAATGTGTGATTATAGTAAGAGGCACTGTCATTTGTTAAAGGATGAAATGAGACCACTTCCACAGGTTCCCCTCTAACTACTCTTCTTTTCCTTATGAGCCCAGGAATCCTTCTGTGCATGTTCAGGTGTGATAGAAAAGCTGCAATATGCAAGCCTCCTTGGACGCTTGCAGCGTATCAAGGAACAATCTCCAGTGATCAATCAAGCTATGGCTGAGCTTGCCACTATTCCTTACCTCCAGGATATCAACCAGCCAGATGCTGAACTGGTAAACCTGCCGTTTTTTAATCCTTTTGGAACTGGTTTGAAGGACAAAGAAGGAAAGAAGTTAGAATTTTATTTTTGTTTTCTGGCCCTTAGAAATATGTATTGGGACTCTGAAATCTTGAGCATAACATTCTGCCAAAGTCTGGGCTAAGCATATGAAGTGCAGTGAATTCAGATCAATATTTTATGTCCGTTGCTAGATCTCTTTGTTCTATTATGAAAGACTGTAAATTATAATTTTCATAACTAGTGTTCTATCACATATGCGATGCTGTTGAAAAAAAATCTTCATCAGAGTCCAATCCAAGCTGGGAATAAAGAAAATGGAGACTACTTTAGAAAGAAGGTTGTGGTTTATTGAAGAGCAAAGCTAGACAGGAGTGTGGCTCTGGGAAAGCTGACCACATGTTGCTGGGAGTGGTGGGTTTTTTATACCTTCCTGGGCTTTTATGTTTGGAGTTGTTCCTGTTTGAGGCTTTGTATTACCTGTGTCATGTACTTTGACCTGAGCCTGAGTGTGCCTTTCTGGTATTCTGATGATAATAGAGTTAATCCTATTATGTCCTAAAGGTCATATCCTGCTTCCCTGGGGCTATGGCTGATGGCTATGTCCCGTGTTGGATTTTCTTGGGGTGAGGGGTTGTTGATTCTAGGGATCTTTGTCTTTTTAATCCTATCAGTTCCAGCTTCCTGGCTCCAACTTTCCTAAATGGATTATGATATTTGCATTTCTACAGAGCTGGTTTCTGCTTGGGTGAGGGAGACTTGGGGCTATTAAGAAAAACTGGGCAGGCTTTTCTGCCTTTTTAAGATCCTTTGAGGGAATATAATATTCTGCCTTTTTAATATTTCCTTCTGGGGGGGGACTGACTTCCCACAATGTAATACAGTAACAAGAAGAGGAACACAATACTCTGAAGTCAAACAGAGTGCAGGGATGTAAAAGCATTTTGGGCCATGGATCACTTTCAAGCAGATTCTGAGGTATAGGGAGTGCACTGTCTTTGTTACAATAAACATAAAAGTCAGCATAGGTCAGACTCAGGAAAATCAAATGATACACCATCAGAATTTTAGACCTAATCTTGTTTATGTGCTTAAGAATTTAATTTTGCTGATCATATCACAAACCTGGAAAGTGAGGAGGCCTGGTCAGAGCCAAGGAGCTAATATGGATAATTCCACAATACAGACCAAACTGAACCAAGGACAAAATGAATTTCCAATTGGATTTGCACATCCTAAGCAATGCTTTCCCCAGTCATGATTTATTAAGTAAAACACAGTTGGATGTGCTTACACATCTCAAACCCTAAACTATAGCTTACAAATTGCATCAGCTGAGACTATACAACACACTAAATGAAAGCCAAACAATTCACAGAATGCTTAATATTTTGGATGAATTACCCTTCTGTACTTTTGTTGTTATTGTCTTCCCTCAAAATTTATTGATAGTCATCATGAAGACATGCACATCACCACAAAAGCAAATAGGTGTGCATACAATATCCTAATATATTTTTTCTCCCCTCTTCTCCACAACAAGCCAGAAAATCTTCAAAAGACAACCTTCTTGCAATTAAGAAGCTAGATTTTTAAACTAATCTTTAAGCTGTGTTGAAATTGGCTGGTTACAAACAGAGTAACCAAACTTTGCTGGTTCAAATGATTAAATAAAGATTTTAAGGTTTAAGAGAGGAGGCGAAGAAGAGAGGAAAGAAGGAACCAAATCTTTATCCATAAACTCAGAGCTAATGAATCCCAACAGAAGTTGTCTTTAAAAAAAACAAAAACAAAATGCCATTATTAATTCCTGTAAATTAAACACATCTTAAAGATGCAGTCAACTTTACTGAAACATTGTACCCTTTTCAGAAAACATTGCATGCAAATGTAGCTCTCCTTTCAGTTGGGTGAGGAATCTGAATATTCCCTTGAGTCAACAGAATTTAATTCAGTGGTAGGATTCTTTGCCTCCCCAATATTCCAAGAATGAACAAAAATACCAACATACTATCTTTTTAAGCTCCACAACTTGTGTATCACAAATTCACTCATCAAGGGGCTTGTTTCTAATCTAGCCATTCAGCTTCCATACTTCTTTTGAGTACTGGAAAAAAAATTTCTTCCATTCAATCATATTTGATTCTCTGAGACTGCTTGAAGAAGACCCTGCCATTTTCTTGGCAAGGTTTTTCAGATGCGGTTGGCTATTGTCCCCTTCGCAGGGCTGAGAGTGAGTGACTGGCCCAAGTTTGCCCAACTGGCTTTGTGCCTAAAGTGAAACTAGAATTCATAGTTTCTAGCCTGATGCCTTAACCACTACATTAAACTAACTCTTGTATTAGGCTTAGAACACTATAAAATCAGAATATCAGAATTGGAAGGGACCTAGCCCATCCTGCTCAGGCAGGAAACTCTATACCATGTCAGACAAATAGTTGTCTAATCTCTTCTTAAAAACCATCAATGCTGGACCACCCATAACTTTTGGAGGCAAGCCATTCCACCGGTTAATTGTTCTCACTGTCAAGAAACTTCTCCTTAGTTCTAGGTTGCTTCTCTCCTTGATTACTTTCCATCCATTGCTTCTTGTTCCGCCTTCAGCTGCTTTGGAGAATACGTTGATCCCCTCTTCTTTGTGGCAGCCACAGCTTCTGGAGGCAAGTTGTTCCAACTCATTACAGAGCAGGCTAGTGACTGAATCCAGTGTCACCTCCACAAAGGAAGATCTCAAAAGGGGGGAAAGCTATATCTTATTTTAGCTCTTGGTTAAGCAACCTATAATCCCAGGGACACATGTGGTTCCTAATCCACATTTTTGTGGCTCTAAAAGTCGTGCTCAGTGACTGAATGCAATGACTGAAAATTTGAGTGGAGGGATACCAAGTCTGAGCTTTAATTCACATTTTAAAAGTAAAGAAAATCTGGAGAAGGCGAGAACCAGCATCTTAATACTGCCTGTATATACACCGTTCCACCCACAGCGATTCTTGGCTCCTCTCAAAAATGTTAAGTGTAGCCCCTGATCATTAAAACTGGTTAAAATTATCCCTTGTAACAGTTTGAAGTAGACCCTTCCTAAATATATCAGTCCTTCTGATGAAATACAGAATTCCAAGCTCTACTTCAAACTGTTACAAGGGATAATTTTAACTGTGCATGCATTTAAATTAATTATGATATGCAAATGAACTGTGTCTAGTTTTTTTTTTTTTTTTCCTTTTGGGAAGAGTGACATCCCAAGCTATACATCACAGTTTAAATACATGCCATGAAAACAGTAGTTAAAACTAGCTCTTCCACTTGGAAACTTCATCTTCTGAAAAATCCCAATAACCTTTTCAAGGGTAGCATTGCAGCAAATCACCTCTAGCGGGTCTGCAAAGCTTTCGAGCTTTCTTTATTAAATTTGGCAGCATCAGAAACCCGAGATGAATATTCTACAGTGACTAAACTAATGTTTCTTAAGGCACAATTAGATATAATTCAGAAGGATGTTTATAAACAGAAAGATGCGTATAAATAGGTTTATAAGAACAGTTTTAAATAGAATAGAGCAGACATGTCAAACACAAGGCCTGAGGGCCAGATGCGGCCCGCAAAGTGGTTTCAAGTGGCCCACGAAGCCATCCTGGAAACAGTGAGGGAATGGCCCCCGCTTCCTTGGCCCTGGCCCAGGCCAGCCGGGAGCCAATGTACAATTTTGTGGTGGCCATCTTGGCACTTGCCCCAGTGGACCATGCCTTGGCATTTGCCCCAGTCCCACCCCCTTCTTCCAGAGACCCTCAGATCTGTCCCACTCCTGCCCAGGCCCCCACAGGCACCCTTGACGTGAATGACGTAGAACTGGCCACGTCCACCCAGTAGGCCACACCCACTCCATTCATGCCCACCCAGTAGGCTGCACCCACTCTGGCCACACCCACCGGGCCCCCCAAGGACAACCGCAATGCTGATGCGGCCCTCAATGAAATTGAGTTTGACACCCCTGGAATAGAGGTTGGATTCACAAATTGCATTACATAATAGTTTGTTTGACCAGATTATTGAATAAGTCATAGTGGTTGGATTCATCCAACACGCTAAACTAAAGCCAAATACATCTTGTCACGTTGTGCAAAGCTTGACTAAGACAACAGTTTACAGTTTCACAGTTTAATGAAGCTACTGACCCTATGGAAGAAACATTGAACATAGCTTCCACCTCTTCCCCCCACCCCATACATTCTGCTCTTTTCCTCCCCATCGTTTAATTTTAGTTATAACCTGTATTTTCATTGTGATTTTACTGAGATTTGTATACACTGGTGCATATAATTATAGTCTCATTTTGATCTTGTAAGCTGCCTAGAGTCGCCTTACACCAAGACGAGTGGCAAACAAATTTAATTAATCACTTAATTTAAAATTTAATTATTAATTAAAGTTTAATTAATTAATTAAAAGATACACATGGTGTCTGTCCATATTTCGGTGCAAGGCAGGCAATATCTGATTGGAGAATTTTAATTGGAGAAAAATAATTTTAATTGGAGAAAAATAATGTTCATCCCATAAGATCAGAAAGAGTGAAAATACTTCATTAAGCAATCCGTTATGCAACCTTATCTGATAGGACATAGGAGTTGTGCCTTGTCTATCACCCCTGACCTCTGGAACAGTATATATATATATATATATATATATATATATATATATATATATATATATATATATATATATATATGTTTTCTGAGGTTTTCGCGGGTATTTGTATGTAGGTCTTTGGTTGTTCGGGTTTTCTCCCGCGTAAAATTGGAAGTGTCTTGGCGACGAAACGTCGCCAAGACACTTCCAATTTTATGTGGGAGAAAACCCGAACAACCAAAGACCTACATATATAGAAGAACTAGATTTTGATAGGGAGAAGTGTGAATCAGGTATTGCACATCAGTCATGCAAGAATAGAAAGGCTCCCAAAAAGAGAAGCTACCTTCTGGTAGGTGATTCAATTAT